TCACTGACACCTGGACTCCCTAAATCCCTGGTTTCATCAGAGCTGGTGGGCTAAGCTTCAGCAAACTGACAACAGGTATGCAGAGGACCAACCTGTACCTGTCTGGGGCTTACCAAAAAATGACTCAAAATCCTGGAATAGTTCTCTGAGCAAGGTAACAATGCTATGGGCTACTCTTATGATGGGCCGGGTACTGTACTTTCTCTACATTGGTTCATTTAATCCCCAGGACCCTCTGAGATAGACACTGTTATTCTTAACCATTCTACAGACAATAAAGCTCAAAGATGTGAAGGAATCAAAGTTATACAAGTATGTTAGGTCGGTGCAAAAGTATTGAAGTTTTGCACTGTTGGACTTTGCCATTCAGTATTGGAATACATTCTTAAATAAATGTGGTTATGTTATACATGATTTTAATGCGTATTTCTCACTTTAGGTTTTTCTGCTAATGACTTATTACTTGCTGTGTATTTTTTATGTATTTTAGACTATGGGAATTTATGTTAGACAAAAATCAAATTCAAATGATTTTCTTATTCGAGTTCAAAATGGGTTGTAAAGCAGCAGAGATGACTTCCAACATCAACAGCCCATTTGGCTCAGGAACTGCTAATGAATGTACAGTGCAGTGGTGGTTCAAGAAGTTTTGCAAAAACTAGTATAGCTGCTATGGAGACCAGTATGGAGATTTCTTAAAAAACTGGAAATAGAACTGCCATATGACCCAGCAATCCCACTTCTGGGCATACACACCGAGGAAACCAGATCTTTGTAAAGTAATTAGCCTCCAACTAATAAAAATAAATGAAAAAAATAAAGAAGTTTTACAAAGAAGATGAGAGCCTTGAAGATGAGGAGCATAGTGGCTGGCCATCAGAAGTTGACAAAAATTAAGAGCAATCATTGAAGCTGACCTCTTACAACTACGTGAGCATTTGCCGGAGAACTCAACGTTGAACATTCTATGGTCGTTCAGCATTTGAAACAAATTGGAAAGGTGAAAAAGTTCAGTAAGTGGATGCCTCATGAGCTGACCAAAAGTTTTTTTTTTAAATGTCATTTGGAAGTGTCATCTTCTCTTATTCTGTGCAACAAGGAACCATTACTTGATCGGATTGCGATGTGTGATGAAAAGTGGATATTATATGACAGCTGACCATGACCAGCTAAGTGGTTGGAATAAGCAGTTCTAAAGCACTTCCCAAAGCACCTCTTGCACCAACAAAAGGTCATGGTCACTGTTTGGTAGCCTACTGCAGTAGACTATAGTCTACTGCGCGAAGCATGGATTTTATACTACAGGAATAAGCAAGCTTATTTCTCATTGGCAAAATTGTGTTAATTGTAATGGTTCATATTTTGATTAATAAAGATGTGTTAGAAATGAGTTACAATTATTTAAAATTCACAGTCCAAAACCACCACAATTGCATTTGAACCAACCTAATAGAAAGTGGCAGAATCTGAATATTAATGTCCAGCAGACCTCAAAGTTCACCTCCACCAGTGTTGACACTTTATTTTTTTTAATATTTGTTTATTTTTTATCGATGTTTGACTGTGCCAGGTCTTAGTTGTGGCATGCAGGATCTCTGCTGCTTCACGTGGGATCTTCTGTTGGTGGTGCACAGACTTCTGTTTAGCTGTGGTGCGTGGGCTCCAGAGTGCGTGGGCTCAGTAGTTGTGACTCGCAGACTTAGTTCCCCATTGGCATGTGGGATCTTAGTTCCCCAACCAGGGATCAAACCCACATCCCCTGCATTGGAAGGCAATTCTTAACCAATGGACCACTAAGGAAGTCCCAATGTTGACACTTTAGAGAAAGAAAGAACTAAAGGTAAGGAAATGACTGGAGCTGGTTTCAGAAGAGAAAAAAAGGGGGGCTGATTCTAATAGATTCTGACCTGAGAGCCCAGTCAGTAAGGCCAGGTAGGTTCTGCCTTACCCAGGCATGGGGGGCTCACTGCCCAGGCTGTACTAAAACCGTACTGAGGAGGGAGTGCAGAAGCCTCTGGCTCCCACACAGCTTTCACCTTCCTGAAACCAAGCCCTTGTTAAGGAAGGGTTGCTTGATGCATTTCCTGTCAAAATCGTCCCTCTTCCCTCAGGGTCCCTGGTAGGTCACAGATGCTCTGGGGAGGGGAGGAACTGAAGGGAAGGGTAAGGCATTCAGTCCTAAAAGCCCTGACCCCTGAGGCCAGAAGCCAAGGGTCATCTCCAGCTGGTCACAGACTTATTCTTTGCATTGTGTGTGTGCTTAGTCGCTCAGCCGTGTCCAACTCTTTTGTGACCCCATGGACTGTAGCCCGCCAGGCTCCTCTGTCCATGGGGATTCTCCAGGAAACAATACTGGAGTAGGTTGCCATGGCCTCCTCCAGGGGATCTTCCCAACCCAGGGATTGACCCCAGGTCTCCCACATTGCAGGCAGATTCTTTACTGCCTGAGCCACCAGGAAAGCCTGAAATGTTTGTGTCCCCCAAAATTCATGTATTGTAATCCTCATTCCAGTGTGATGATATTAGGAGATGGAGCCTTTGAGAGAAGACTAGGTCATGAGCGTAGAGTCCTCATGAATGGGACCAGTGATCTCATAAAAGAGACCTCAGAGAGTTTTCTTGCTCTCTTGCTATGTGAGAACACAGTGAGAAGATGGTCTGTGAACCAGGAAGCGGAGCTCACCAGACATCAAATCTGCTGGTACCTTGATCTGGAACTTCTCAGCCTCCAGAACTGTGGGAAACACATTTATTGTTTGAGTCACCAGCCCATAGCTGCCTAAGCAGACAAAGACACCAGGGGCCAACAGAGATGGAGACTGGAGTGATGCAGCTGGAAGCCAAGGCACAGCACCAAGGATTCCCAGCAGCTACTGGAAGCTAGGAAGAGCCAAGAAGATGCCTTTGGAAGGAGCATGGGTCTAGCAATACCTTGATTGTGGCCCTCTAGACACCAGAACTGGGGGACAATACATTTCTGTAGTTTTAAGCCACCAAATTTGTGATCCTTTGTCATGGCAGCACCCAGGTCTCCCACATGGCAGGCAGATTCTTTACTTACTGAGCCCCCAGGAAAGCCCGAAATGTTTGTGTCCCCCCAAAATTCATCCACTGCAATCCTCATTCCAGTGTGACGATCTTAGGAGATGGAGCCTTTGTGAGATGACTAGGTCATGAAGGAAACTAATGCAGATGGGAAAAAGACTCCCCATCTCACATTCCTCATAAGGTTGTTGCAATGGTCAAAATACAGTCAGATCACCAGAGCACTGAGGAACCTAAATGGGAAGGAAATCCAAAAAAGACGGAATATATGTATATGTATACATATAGCTGATTCACTTTGCTGTACATAGAAACTAACACAACACTGTAAAGCAACTGCATTCCTACAAAAATTTTTTTTTCCAAAAAACGTAGTTTGAAAAGAACAAGTGTTATTATATAGATGCAGAACAGCATGATCATCAGTCTTGGTTCTAGTTGAGCCTACACAAAGAGATACCCAAAAGGATTCAGACTGACAACAAGGAACTCACAGATGATGATTTGATCTTGTATTTTTTTACAATTTCAGTCTTAATAAATGAAGGTGAGTTTGATGCTAGTTTGGTGCTAGAATAGAGGCCCCCAAAGATGTCCACATTATAATCCCTGGAATGTGTGACTATGTCATCTTACACTGACAAAAGGAAGTTATAGATGTAATTCGGTTAAGGATCTTAAGATGAGGAGACTATCCCATGCTAATCAAGGCCAGTGTAATCTCAAGAATCCTTTTTAAAAGGATGCAGAGAGATCAGAATAGAAGATGGAATCATGGAAGAAGAGCTCGGGGAAAAAAACAGATTTTGATAAAATGTTATACCTCTGACTTTCAAGATGGATTATGAGACCACAAGCCAAGGGATGCAGGCAACCTGTAGAAGCTAGAAATAGTAAAGAAATAAATTCTTTCCTAGAATCTCCAGAAAGAATACTGCCCTGCCAAGCTCCTGAACTATAAAATAATAGATGTATTGTTTTGAGCCACTAGACTTTGGTAATTTGCTACAACATAAATAGGGAATTAATATATCCACTAAACTGGTTAAACTGAAAATGAATGTGGGTAAGAGGATAGGGAGACACCCCCAGATAATTCTAGATATTCTTGGAGATCCCCAGTGATCCTTTGTATTTAACCCTAAAGAATTTCCCTCTGTAGTTGGGAAGTTTTTTTCCATTTTCTTCAGCTCCTTAGGGTCCCCCAGAATTCATCCTCACATTGAAGTGCCCTTGGTAGGGAGCCCACAGCACCAGAGCTACTACATGCCCTTACATTAAAGACCCAACAGCCTTGTGCTCAGTGAGACAGTCCATCCCCAGTTGCTCCCCAGAAAGGATGCAGACATCCCCATATGGCCTCAGTCCCTGCCTATAACAGGTGCAGCTTGTTCTTCATCCACAATGTTCAACAAACGCTTTACAAGCTTATGTCCACACAGTCCTCAATTATACACTCCCCCAATTCACAGTGTAAGCAAGAAATGCCCTTACCAGCTATAGCCAACCTGAGACTCTAAGTGCCCTGAGGAGACTCCCACAGTAGAGCACAGGTCTGAAGGTCCCTGGCCAGGACAGCACCACTGCCCTCCCAAGGAGGCCAGCAGCAAGGAGGAAGCTCTGCGCTGACCAGTTCATTCTCTTGACTTGGTGTGGATTTCCTACGTGGTGCAATTAGGATTTCCTAATAGGTAAGATGAGGAAATGGTAACCCACTCCAATATTCTTGCCTGGAAAATCGCATGGACAGAGGTAGCTGGTGAGCTAAGTCCATGGGGTCACAAGGAGTCAGACACGACTGTGCACACATGCAATGCAAATGGGTAAAATTAGGAGGGAATCAAACACAAGATCTGAACAGGAGCCTAAGGTCATTTGCTCCACCCCATCCCGGTTCAGCCTTCCCCATCCCTGACATAACATGGGATAACATTTACTTCTGCATCTACCAACAGATCTGGTGCCTGGCACTGAGTATGGGATTGGAATATCTGCTGTCATGAACTCACAGCAAAGCGTACCAGCCACCATGAACGCCAGAACTGGTGAGTAGGAAGACTGGTGTGTAGAGAGACCAGGACACTGTGACCTGAGGGCCATCGAGGACCGGTCAGATGGCCACTCGCCCTAGCGAACAGGTCCCTGGGTGAGGATCACCGGCTTAGGAACACCATCTACCTGTACTCCTTGATTCCCTGTGCCTACCCTCTGACATCTGACATGAGGATGGAGTCCCACCCTCTCCTCACACTTGGTACCCGATGGTCTGAAAGGCTGCCCACTGCTGCGCAGAGCAGAGGTGTAAAACCCCACAAAAGCCAGTGATGTAGCGAGTCATGTTTCCTGCTAGATCATCTCACAGCAGGCAGAATGTGATACTTCTCACCCCATAGGACAGAACCTTCAGAAAGGCCACAGGCTGAAGGTCTAGACTTGGAAACAACCCATTTGAGCTTGGAGAATGGAGAAGTCCACTGAGACTCTTGCTATTCTGGATCCAACAATTTTGGTTTCAAACCCCAGGCAAATTCCAAAGTCACTTTAGTAACTGGTAGCAGCCTGGGCTGGGCTGGGAATTCTGAACCAATCCCTGTCCCGAGGTTGTCCAGCATAGACAACCTCTCTAGAGAACCTCAAGACATGGGTCCCCAGGAGTCCTTAGATCTTGTTGCCTACACACCTGTGGCCAGGTCAGTCAGAATGGCACCAGGGACAGAGGTAGTTATGGTTGTGAGGAACAACATACCCATGCTTGATGGTGGCACCTGTTTTGCCCTGGTTGGCTTACTGAGAAAGGCTAGGAGAAAATGGGGAGCTTAAAAATCAGAGGCCAGCTTTGTCCCACAGTGGGGTATCTTGAGTTACTAATGCTTTCCGGAAGATTATTCATCTATATGCCAAGCCTCTGGCCATCTTTCAAAGGGAAGGTGCTTAACAAAGTGTGAGATTAGTGTCAGCAGTGACAAGCCAATCTTCATGGTCAGCAGACCCGCTGATAGCTTAGAAATCCACCAGGGGCCTAATTCCAATAAATACTGGCCCTCGTGTGGAACTTACATAAAATAGGATGCTTATTTTGATCCACAGAACTCGACAGTCCTCGAGACCTCATGGTGACAGCCTCCTCAGAAACCTCCATCTCCCTCATCTGGACCAAGGCCAGTGGCCCCATTGACCACTACCGAATTACCTTTACCCCATCTTCTGGGATCGCCTCTGAAGTCACTGTGCCCAAGGACAGGACCTCGTATACACTGACAGATCTAGAGCCCGGCGCAGAGTACATCATTTCAATCACAGCTGAGAGGGGCCGGCAGCAGAGCCTAGAGTCCACTGTGGATGCCTTCACAGGTACCCAGGCAGCAGAAATCTCAGCTGGGTTCAGGGATCAGTGGATCTTAGGATGAGAAGATCATCTAGGCAACCCACTCTTCCAACACCCCATTGCCTCTAGAGAAAGGAAGAATTTTAGAGAAAGGTAGAGAAAGAAGAGATAGAGAAGAAATTAATAAGTACCTCAAAAAAGAATGTGTATGTGTGTGCTCAGTCACTCAGTTGTGTCTGACTCTTTACAACCCCATGAACTGTAGCCCAACAGGCTCCTCTGTTCATGAAATGTTACAGGCAAGAATACTGGAGTTGGTTGCCATTTCCTACCCCATGGGATCTTTCCAACCCAGGAATTGAACCTGTATCTCCTGTGTGTCTCCTGCATTGGCAGGCAGACTCTTTACCACTGAGTCATCTGGGAAGCCCAAGAGAGAATGGCTGGAGGTGAAGGGGAGAAATGAACAAGGCTACCTGCATGCCTAAAATTCTGTCTGGTTTCCTGTAGGCTGGTCAGAGTAGTTAATTCTGGTCATTTTCTGCCTGCACTAAGTCAGTGGGCATTCAGAGGATCCATGGGATCATGTTGAATTCCTTTCAGGATAGAAGTTTTAAATCCCCCATCAGTATTATGAATAATTCACAGAGGTGATGCTGTTTTTATACTGCTGAGGGCATTCATTTTTCTGTGTCTGGCTTGGAGAAAGGAGAGTGGATGAGATAGGAGAGTGAGGATGTGGACGCTCTGGTTAACAAGTGCAGGTGTAGTCCTGATTAGCAGGGAAAGCAGACCTCTTTGGTTAGATGTCTTCTCTACCCCAGTGGCCCCACCACTTTACGTGGATTTCAGAACCATTCATTTCCTCTGTTTTCAGGCTTCCGCCCCATCTCCCATTTGCACTTTTCTCACGTGACCTCCTCCAGTGTGAACATCACCTGGAGTGACCCATCCCCTCCGGCAGACAGACTCATTCTCAACTACAGCCCCCGGGATGAAGAGGAAGAAATGATGGAGGTCTCCCTGGATGCCACCAAGAGGCATGCTGTCCTGATGGGCCTGCAGCCAGCTACCGAATACATTGTGAATCTGGTGGCAGTCCATGGCACAGTGACCTCTGAGCCCATCGTGGGCTCCATCACCACAGGTGGGGCTGGAGGACTTGACAGCAGGTGATAATGGGGATTCCCATGATAACCTTTATGAAATTTAAAAGAGAAACACCCAAGGAGTAGGGGACCACCTTGTTTATCCAGAGAGGGTCTATGAATTGTTCTTAAACAGTCACCTCTTCCAGGGCTGCACGTAATGTATAAGATGGGAAGCTTCCACTTAGAAGATAGGATGGACTTGATGTCTTAAGGAGGCCAGGGCTTTAATGCATTGATCCAGAGGTTCTCCTTCTATCAACTTAGAAGAAAACTCTGGAGAGAGCTAGTCTCCAAGAGGACACCCTTCTACAGTGAGGAGACATCTGTTCCTCTTCTGGAGAGCCATCTCTTGACTGCCAAGTCAGTTCAATTTGTGAATGATGTTTCCCCAGAATCATATAAGACTAGCATGCAACCACATAGGGACCTGGTACTCTGAGAATGGGGTTGATCTGCTTGTTGTCTGGAAAACACAGGTACTCTGAGATGTACTGAATCACTTGCATCTCATCCTTCTTACATACAGTCACAAATATGAGTATGATGTGGGTGAGGACATGTGTGTTTGGGTGATTTCTTATATACTTAGAAGAATTGAACAAGTGGATTAAACACTCAGCTGGTTTTGGTCCTGTAACCTGCCAGTAGTTTAAAAAAAAAACAACAGAGCATACAGTACAAATAAAAAATCAGTTTAGGAAAGTGGATTTGTTCTGGACTTATACTCTGAAATCCCTGTACAGTCAATAGCAATTTTTCCAAATTGACCAAAGGTGGTTGATACAAAAAAGAGAGAGAGAGAGTTGGGTTTGTTCAAAAGAGGCTGCCCCAAAGAAAATGACCATTACTCCTAGTTCAAAACAAAACAACAAACTTGAAGGATATTTTCCATTTGGAATTCAGATAGGTAAGAGTCACTACACAGGCATAGACCTTGACAGCTTGATTTCATGTTGTTAAAATACTCTCCAGGTGCATGACTCTGGCCATATCTATGAGGTTTCAAGTGAGACTTCAGCCTGATCACAGTTTTAAGGTTGCCCTAGTATAAAGTAAGGTCTTGTCTGCCTCTGGGACACCATTAGCTCTTGGTCCACATAAAACCAAAAATAGGAAATTGTTTCTCATATTATGCCTTCTGTCTTTTCCCCACGACCACCTGGATCCTTGTAGGAATTGATCCTCCCAAAGACATCACAATTAGCAATGTGACCAAGGACTCAGTTATGGTCTCCTGGAGCCCTCCTGTTGCATCTTTTGATTACTACCGAGTATCCTATCGGCCAACACAAGGTAATAAAGTTACTTGATTTCTCAAAGATGAATAGAATTTGGAACTGAATGAAGACTGTTATGGCAGAACTAGTATATCCCAGGGGATATCACCCCCTTGCCTGCAATTTCCTCCTCTCTGTAGCTCGCTCCATCAGAATGAGAGTGGGTAATGATGAGTAGCCAAGGAACCCAGAACATACCAGCTCCTCTCACAAAAGGTTTGATGATATTCACACAGGAAGCAGGCCCTTTACAGGTTGAGTGAACTATGGTAATCAGTCACCACTATCCAGACAGTGTAGCGAGAAACTAAGATCTCTAAAAGAATCTGCCAGGAGCCAGGGTCACATGTACTTTTCTGAGAGAATTAAAGTCCAAGACTAAACTCCAGGGGGTGCCTATGCCTGAAGATCCCACAGAGTCATATGGAGGGAACTACAATGATGGTGGTCCTGTTACTGCTGCTCCATCCAAGTTATGAGTCAGAAGAGATAGGGCCAGACCTCACCTGCATCCTGCCAGCTCTTGCTGGTGCATGTGGAATTGTTAAGGAAGTAGAGGGTGCGCTCACTTCCAGTGAGTTGGGGGAATAATTTTCCAGACTACTGGATCTCTTGGCTGCATGGGCCACTTTTCAGCCATAGCTTTCTATACTGCTTGAAGACCAGCTTGTTAGAAAACCACCTAATAAATAGTTTTTCCCCCCTTTGTTCTTGAGATCCGATACAATAAGGGGGTATTGTACAATAAGGATCAGCATGCAAGGTCTCTTCAAATTCCAACATTCCCAGCCCCCCTGTCTCCCAAATGGATGCTGACCCTTGCACCCGTCTATCAGGGCTGCATGACAAAGTACCGCTAGGAGATCCTGTATCATGAGCTGCATTGATGTGAGATCCATGGAACTTGACTGTGACTTCTGCTCTTCCTTAGTGGGACGACTGGACAGCTCAGTGGTGCCCAACACGGTGACAGAATTCACCATCACCAAGCTGTACCCAGCTACAGAATATGAAATCAGCCTCAACAGCGTGCGGGGCAGGGAGGAGAGTGAGCGGATCTGCACACTTGTGCACACAGGTGGGCACGTCTCCCCATCACAGGCCAAGGTGGGACCCCAGCTGAGGACCTGGGACCGACGGAAGTCATCCTGGCTAACTCAGAGGACACTGGTTCTGGGTTGGGGATGGGAGGTTGCCCTCCAGGGTGTCCCTCGGATTCACATTGTTAATGCGAAGCAATTTGCAAAGTTCCTCCCTCGGAGCTTCTCTGTAACACTAGGAGTTTAGAGTCACCCTCTAAGACTCTTACCGGTTTAGGTCAGACATTTTCATGGCATTTCCAATATGAAAAGTAACCCTCCAAAGACTCATGACAGAATCCAATATGAAAAGTAACCCTCCAAAGACTCATGACAGAAGTGAATTCCAGAACAGACATGTGATTCATTCCATCTAATTTTTTAAAAGACTGACAGAGAAACTTTACCTTAGAGAAAAAAAAAAGGGGGGGCTGTTTTTCCAGTAACGACCCTTGGAATCATGAAACCCCTCATTCTACATGACCAGAACCACCAAGTGACTGCATTTCCTTTTGCTTTATCGTCCAGGGAGGAGGAAGGAGGTGCTTTTCTCTGGAAAAAATGATGGGCTTGAGAGCAGGGCTCTGACAGCCCCTACCCTGCCCTTCTTTTCTGACTCCTCAGCCAGCTCATCATGCAGAACTAGGACAGGTTTTCCACAGAAAACACGAGAGGGAACAGTGAAAGTTTTCGGTTCCAACCCCAGACGCAATTCTCAGTGATGATATGGTTCCTGTATATTGAAGCATATATTCAGTAGTGCGCTGACCCAGCACACAGGAAGACATTCAGCTTGCCTCATTAAGAGAACACCTGGATTTCCTGAGGCTGCTTACTTCCCTCAGGGAACGAACAGTACTTCATGAATGAGAGCAACCTGGAATTCCTCACTGCTCTTGTAGATACGCTCACTAGCCCAGAAGGAGCATCTCTAAGGCCATGGCCAAAGAAATATTCCTTTAGAAACTCAAAACGTTATTCACCTGAAGACATCACAGGATGTTCTCATCTCCCCTACTGTCCTGCCATGCCTGTGACTACATATAGCACAGCCATGTTTTTGGTTCAATCTTACCCTTCCTATCAAGATATCTATGACCATTAAAGTATCAGCATATGTTGACCTGAAGGGATGCCCAGTGAGTATAAAGAAGCCTTCCTCATCCATTCCTCTAAGTCTTAGAAATTCACATTAAAGAAATTAGGGTTTTTCTCAGGGAGGATAATAAAATGGACTTCACAAGCCTCCAAACCCAAAAGTATAAGAGAACAACTTAGGTCCAAAACTCGCTCCTTGGGTTCTTGGTTATAAGCAAGTATCTCTAAAGCATATATTCACTAGTGCACCAACCCAGTTTCCCTCCTTCAAGTTCAGGCAGAGCTATTTTGGCAACTCCCAACAACCAGATTACTCACAGAAATGTTTTATTTTGTTCTTTTGCTGTTGCTGTTGCTTTAGTGTGAGGTCTATGATTTTATAACTTTTGGCAATGATTACTCCTCAAGGTATCATGGTAGGTCTCAGAGAGGTCAAGCTAAATGTAGTCTCTTAAGATTTTTCTTCTTTGTTTATTTTTGGAAGCTTACATTTCAAGGCATAGATTATGGACACAATTCAGATGTTAACATTGTAAATGGTTGTTTCTTTGAAATAAAGGACATAGACAAGCAATCTAACCTTCAGTTAGAGGGGAGGGAGAGATCAATAGTATAGCTGGGACTCCAAAATTAAATTACATGACACATAGGTTGACCTGATACCTAAACTACTGTAATAACCTGCATTTCTAAGATAAATTCCAACTTTATGGAAGAGAGGTGCAGTAAGGAAATGAGGCAGGGAACAGGAGCAGTAAAGAATCCGCCTGCAATGTAGGAGATGAGGGTTTGATCCCTGGGTCAGAAAGATCCCTTGGAGAAGGAGATGGCCACCCACTCCAGTATTCTTGCCTGGAGAATCCCATGGACAGAGGAGTCTGGTGGGCTGCAGTGTATAGGGTTGCAAAGAGTCAGACACAATTGAAGCAACTAAACCACATGTGCAAGTGAGAATGAGAATATGGTGCTATGATGAACAAACTCTGCTCCTCAACAGGCACTCCCGGCTTTAAGCCTGGACCAAATCCCTTGACTCTCTATGCCACAAAAAGAGCCCAGGACTCAGTACAGAGTCAGCCTTATGAGTAGCAAAGCAAGAATTCAATGAGCAGATCTGACTGTAAAGGCAACCTGAATCCCATTCTTCATTCCACAAGCATTTACTGAGCAATGTCTAAGTTCTAGGTGCTGGGGTTACTCCCTGACTTCATTGAACTCCCACCACACTTCCTGCAGTTCATCAGCAGAGACTATTTCACATGGCATGCCCCTTCTATCAACATTTATTCAAGTAAAAGCCTAGGAGTCATATTAGCTCATCAGCTACAAAAATATAACAGTTTTAATATGTTCTTAGTTTCTCTACCTAGGTTTAAATGTCTAAAGCACAAGAGTCATACCTTGGACTCCCTATAACACCCGACTGCTCTGCACGTAAGAAGTTAATTAATCAATTAAAAAAAGATCTGAGAGTAATTAAGGGAGTGCTGGGTGCTTGAGAGGAAGGAGAAATGAGAAAGGGGAAGGGGCTGATGGAATCAGAAGGGAAGAAAGAAAAGAGGTCTTCACTCACTTCATTATTTTGTGTCACACAGCAGCAGACATGCATTCTAGGTGAAACTACAGGAGACAGTTCTCTCCTCTTCCATCCTGCAGTTCCTCTTACCTCTACCTGATATTTTCCTATGTTGTTTCAGCCATGGACAATCCTGCGGATCTGACTGCTACCAACATCACCCCAACCGAAGCCCTGCTGCAGTGGAAGGCACCCATGAGTGAAGTAGAAAACTATGTCATTGTTCTCACACACTTTGCAGGTGGGTGTCTGCGGGTCAATGCATTAGGCAGGTGAGAATGGTGGGGATTGGGGCTGAAGACCATATGAAAAATTTTTTTAAATCTTTTTAATCTGAAAGAAAATTAGAAATTTCCCTGCTTTAATTTCATCATAAAGCCCTCAGGATAGCCCCCAAACTCTGTGAACTGTATCAACTATGGGAATTGAGAAAGTTAAATCTAAAAAGTACAAAAAGGGCATGTAACCAATACAGAAACAGAAGTAGCACTTGAAAGGCAAAACTCAGAACTTGCCCCAGAATGCTATGGGCAAGAAAGTTGACTTTTCTAGATATTTTACAGAGTGAGGAAAACACTAAAGGACCATCCATGATAATGGGTGACAAAGGATTCAAAACTACTAAATTCTTCTGTTGCTTTGATCTTCTCTACCCATATCCAATCCCAAAGGTTGAGCCAACATGAGATCTTGAGTTTTAATGTCTTCTTTGCCATACTTGGAGAAGGAAATGGCAACCCACTCCAGTACTCTTGCCTAGAGAATCCCATGGATGGAGGAGCCTGGTAGGCTACAGTCCATGGGATTGCAAAGAGTCGGACAGAACTGAGCGACTTCACTTTCACTTTTACTTTGCCATACTTACCCACCTTAATGCAATTTGAAGTTGATTAGAGAAGCCCAAAGCAGAATGCTAATGAGTAGTTCAAGTGTCCAGGCCTAGGAAGTTATTTCTCTGCCTAAATTATACATGTGCTCACAGAATATTGTGGGTTATAGGCAGGAATCCAGAGAACAAAGATACTAGAAGACAGAAGGCAGGCAGATGTCTTGATTTTCAAAAATGACAGATTAAGTCAATTCTGTAAGCTGCAAAGTAAACTGATTGTCAAAGCTTGGGAAAGTAGAAATCAAAACAGACTATTAAGTAAGTTGGAAAGGAATCAATGATTACTACATACCAGCACAGGGTCACAAAGTATGAGTTTTGCCCAAACCCCTTTGAGCCCCCCTTTTTTTCACTGGCAAATCTGCTAGCACATCAGTATCTCGGCAAGGCATTAGAAAGGCCCACCTCCCATTGAGATGGAAAACTACATGGTGGATCTTATTTGGAGTTCCATAGCTGATTGAATGACTGACTCTCCCCAGAGAATGAACATCATTACTATGGATACATCCTAACCCTGCTGTGTGCGTGCACAAGCCATGTCAACCCTACCACCCCTTCCTACACATTATGACCCTGCATTTCTAAACTCTCACCTGCCTTCTCAAGCCAACGTACATTTGCACATGTTCTTTCCTCTACCAGGAAGCTCTTTCCCCACTTATCTACCTACTAAGGTCATCCTTCAAGCCTCAGTTCCAACACGACCTGCTAGATCAAAGCTCTCATTATTCCCTTAAGGCAGTCAGATGCACCTGCTCACAGATATGAAGCACAGAGTTCCATCATAGCAATTTCCATTCACTTAACAACTACTTTTGCTTTCCTCCAAAGTGCCATGCACTCTCTGAGACTACAATGATTCAAAGCAAAACATGAGTTCTTATCTTCGAAAAATTCGCTTCTAGTGAGGGTGCAGACAAGTAAAGAGTTACAACCCAGGGTGGGCAGTGTCATGATGTGGGCAAGTGCAAAATACCAGTCTGCCACACCTGATGGGCCACTATGATTTGGAGTGAGGGTGTGGAGGGGAAGAAAGAAGGCAGATCTTAGATCTGAGAAAAAGAAAAAGAGATTAGGAGAAAGACGTGAATTCCAAGAAAAAGAGCAGCCTGTGGTGCATTTAGAGAGAAAGCTTGGAGAGTCACAGGAACTGCCTTAGTTGATGTGGCTGAAGCATTGACTGTTGGCATCATGTTGCAAAGGAGGATATTAAAAAGATAGAGCCATTATATGAGTTCTTTCAAAGGGCTAGTTTAGATTTTAACTTGTTTGCATACTTTTCTGTATCATTAGACCACAAAAAATTGAAACTTCAGCCCTGCCATTATTTGGAGAAGTGCCCAGTAAACTCTATTAAATGCTGAATGACTCAGAAGTATTCTCAAGACACAATAAGAGGCTTGGCCTTGATCTAATGAACAGTTTTATCAACAACTTGAATGAATATAGAAAAGATATGAATACCAAATTTATGTTTCAAACAAAACTGTGATCGTTAGAATCCAAATTCAGATATATTTTAGTAAACAAATGGTAGCCCCACACTCAGTCAACAAGGAAAAATGAAGTCAAAATGAATGCAAATCCCTTCCCATGGGTGCAAAAAATCAACTATACAAGGTAAGGTTGAGAGGAGGTTATAAACATGATCTTTGATGATTTTTAATCTCAGCCTATGATAACAAAATCCTAGGACCAGGATTAATATACATACTTGGCACAAATAAAAGCAGAGTCTTGACCTGTTTCTTTCGTTGTCAGCTCATCTCAATTATTGTTCTTGATTCTCTTCTGAGTTTTGCATTTCAGCAGGGACACTGATAAACTGTTCCTTGTTTATAGAAAGGTGGCCAGAAATGTGACAGTTTTAGAATCATCTCATAAGATCCCCTGGAGAAGGAAATGGCACCCCACTCCAATATTCTTGCCTGGAAAATCCCATGGACAGAGGAGCCTGGTGGGCTACAGTCCATGGGGTCGCAAAGAGTCCGACATGACTAAGAGACTTCACTTTCTTTCACTTTCATACATGTAATGGGGGTTGGGCTGAATGCTCTTAGTCTAGAAGAGAGAAAACCTGATTAGGAAGAGTGAAGGGCAGGAAGAGGTCAGGAAACAAAAGATTTGATTTATTCTAACTCCAGAGACCCAAGTAGATGTTATATGAAAGACTAATCGGCCTCCAAATAATTTCTCAATTATGATGCAAAACAAGATGAGAGGGGAGCTTTGTATGGAATATAATGCTAAGTTAAATAACCTCTAAAGGATTTTTTCCAAAATACTCTAATAGTGCATTTTTTTAAAGGAATATCTTTGGATTGGATAAGTCTTTCCTAAATTGAATAGTCTTATTCAATCCTTATCCATGTCCATCTGATTTTAGTTGCTGGAGAGACCATCCTGGTTGATGGAGACAGTGAGGAATTCCAGCTTGTTGACCTGCTTCCTAGGACCCACTACACTGTCACCATGTATGCCACCAGTGGGCCTCTCACCAGCGGTACCGTCAGTACCAACTTCTCTACCCGTGAGTACTCGAATGGTCAGCTCCATGTCAATATCCCGGGAGGCCTTTATGGATCCTGAAAGTGATCAGTTTCCAAGGGCTGGACTAGATTAGAGTCTATAGGTTTTGGACAATGCGGTTATGAGGCATTCTTATTTTAGTTAAGTGCAGCCCAAACGCCAGTGAAAGTGGGCTGCAACTCTTTTCCTGAGTCTGGCTGAGAGCAATACATCCAGGTCAAGAGAGGCCACTATTGGGGATGCATCTGGCCCATAAAATTCTGATGGAACTAAAGGGCTTAATATTGGGAGAGAATTGCCAGGTGCAGTCATGGCCAGGAGAACAGTAGACAAAAGTATACATGTGGAAATGATGTAAATTGAAGAGTGAACTCACAGACATGCAGGTTTAACAAGGTCATGATTTCAGACTGGAAGATGTCACACCCAGGCCCAGAGGACCAGGTGAGGGAAGGGGGAATAGCTTCAGGAATGATCATGACACTGAATGATTATCTTCTGCCCAGGAGTGTCCTTTATGCTCCTGTCCAAGCTAGAACTGGGGTCACCATGTGAGCAGCCCAGAGATCACATAGGTGGACAAATTGGTCCACATGCCTGGCATCAAAGAGGGAGGAGCTGGAGGGGTGCCCACTCCTGGCATTTTCTCTTCTTTGTAGTCCTGGATGCTCCTGAAAATCTGACAGCCAGTGAAGTCACCAGACAAAGTGCCCTGATCTCCTGGCAGCCTCCCAGAGCAGAGATTGAGAACTACGTCTTGACCTACAAATCCACTGATGGAAGCCGCAAGGTGAGATTTTTCTGGAAGCAACCCACAGGGAGTAAGCTAAGTTTGCCATTATGGATACATAGCAGGCTGTTGAGGAAAGAGCACTCATCTGCAAGCCAGACATTTGGGTGTTAGTCTTGCCTCCACTCTTACTCTCCGTGCAAGTTGAGGCAAAACACTCAACCTCTCTGAGCCCCAGTTTCTGCTCTAGGTAATAGGGGCATCTACCCTGCAACTTCACTCAGTTGTGCTTGATGCTGCCGATACCAGCCTCCAAGCCAATTAATAAGTACATGGTATTGGAATGAATTTTCACTAACAGGGCCATGCAAACATGAGCTGGATACCAAATTCGACAGTCTCATGTGCCTCTTGATAAACATGATAAAGGCTCCATCTATACAGCCCACAGTAAAGAGATCACAAATTTCTGTTTTAGATGGTCAGTTGAAACAGGCCACCTATACCACTGGTTGTCAAATGTTTGTTAACGGTGAAATCCTTTTTTTTAAAAAAGTGAAATCATATTCAGAAACCAAATATACAGAATAGATTTCAGTAGAGCTAGTCTGCGGGTGTGAAAGAGGGAGGCCTTGTTCCTCCTTCCTCACTCAGGCCTCCAGGAGACCCTGGGTGATCTAAAAACCACGGGGTTCAATAACCCAGGGCTAAACTTGTCCAGTGTGCATCCATGGGAGGGGAGCTGGCCTCAGTCCCACGTAGGAGGTGTTCTTTCTGCTTATTGGAACGTCTTCTCCTGACATGATATGGGACGAGAGAATAAAAATGGTCACTGTAATACTGACCGTGGGGTCTGAACTTCCCTTCCCCACTCCCCTCCATGGTGACCCCTCTGCTCACCACCGTCCACCTCCCTCCCCCGGTCCATCCTGCAGGAGCTGATTGTGGACGCAGAGGACACGTGGATCCGACTGGAGGGCCTGTCCGAGAGCACAGACTACACGGTGCTCCTGCAGGCGGCGCAGGACACTGCGCGGAGCAGCATCACCTCCACCGCCTTCACCACAGGTGAGAGAGGGACGTCCACCCTGACGTCTCCTCCTCCCCTGCATGGCATTCGGCTCCTCAGCAGCCTCTGCTGAGACTTGGCCAGGGAGGAGCCCATCAGAGAAACTCAATTGCCTCTTCCTGCAAAGGAAAATAATTCTTTTCCCCTACTCCTGCCTTCCCCCACTTCCACGGCCCTGCCAGGAACCTGTCACTACCCAGGCAACCCTAGGAACCAGCTGCACAAATTCCTGGTCCTCCTGCACCAACTAAGTGCACCAAGTAAGACAGCAGGCTCCTGTGCAGATTTTCTGCAGGGGTTTTTCCAGCACAGTTTGTCCTTCCCGCCTTCCTGCCTCTGCTGCCTGTCCTCAGATTCACCCGGTAAAAGTTGCACAAATAAAGCCCCAGTATGAAGTCTACAGTTCTCCATCCACAAAGCACTTCTGCATTTCTGTAGTCTCAACCCATCCTTTTGCAACAACTGGTGAGAAGGGTCTTGTTATCCCCATTCACCTCAGATGATGAAACTTAGGTGCATGGAAATCAATTGACTTACATGGTAGTAAGTGCTGGGTCACAACTTGAACCAAGATCTTCCATTTCTAAATCCAGCCTTCCTTCTGCCTTCCTTCATCTAAGTGATGGGTTGGCCATAAAGTTTCTTCAGGTTTTTCTATCTCATTGTACAGAAAAACCCAAATGAACTTTTTGGCTAACCCAGTATCAGCAGAAGATATTGGAAATACCCTTATGGGGTGAAAAGTGAAGTGAAATTGTTAGTCACTCAATCATGTCTGACTCTTTGCAACCCCATGGACTGCAGCCTACACACTCCTCTGTCCATGGGATTCTCCAGGCAGGAATACGGGAGTGGGTTGCCATTCCCTTCTCCAGGGGGTCTTCCTGATCCAGGAATCGAACCTGAGTCTCCTGCATCGTAGGCAGAATCATTACTATCTGAGTCACCAGGGAAACCCACCTTAAGGGATAAGGTTGGTCTAATGTGCACAACAGGAAATAAACTAACGCCTGGTGTTTGAGGGCTGTTTGACAGACACTGTTATAACAGTATTGTATATTCTAACTTAATCCTCATGACAGCCTTTGAGGTATGTTCTAGTATCCTTATTTACAGATATGGAAACTGGGCCAAAGAGAGATGAGGCAACTCACCCAAGATCCCATAGCTCTCAGGTAGGACAGCTGGGATTGACCCCATGTGCGCTAGCTCTGCGGTTTGTGTTGTTAACAACCCTTCCTGCCGCTTCCGTGGTGCCTCTCTGCAGTCTGTAACGTGGGGCTGCCCGGTCAGACTGGATTCTCTCCCCGCCCCATATTTAGAGGAGGGTGGCTGTGCACCATGTGGGATAAGTGTACTGTTAGTCACTCAGTTGTGTCCAACTCTTTGCAACCCCATGGACTGTAGCCCACCAGGCTCCTCTGTCCACGGGATTCTCCAGGCAAGAATACCAGAGTGGGTTGCCATTTCCTTCGCCAGGGTATCTTGCCAACCCAGGGATCAAAACCACAACTCTTTCAGCTTCTGCATTGGCAGGCTGATTCTTTGCCTTCTGAGCCAGCAGGGGCAAGTGAAGGCATGTTCATTATCTGTAGACACACTTCTGTTGTCATCTCAGAGCACCAGGGTGACTGGATTCCTGTCCACCCCAAGAGCCCATCCTCTCATCACTGGAGAGAGGTGACAGAAAGTCACCCATCTACCCAGGTGCCTCCCCCACTAGACTTGTTCTAAAAGACAAAACAGGACACTGGCTCAAATACACCCAAATGTCACTAGTGATTCCGTAGGGTGGTGGAATTATGAATGTGGCCCCCTTTTCCTTCCTTTTTACACTTTTCAATATCTTGCAAAGTGTTGACAATGAGCATAATAATCTGAAAAACAATTTTTAATTAAAACATAAAAATTAACCTTGGCCTTGAATCCAAGGTCTTTGACAAGCAGAATTTGGAGGACACTTGATCTCTTTTATGGGGCTGAAGTCAAGTAAGCTCAAGTTGCATTACTTTCTAGGGGTGTCTTACCTCAGAACCAAGGTGTCACCATCTTGCTCAAGCCCTTCCCTGCACATTCACAGATTAATTAAAGGGTCCTCCAGGGTTTCCCTTCTCAAGCCACCACCCCAAGACCCAGGGATTGGAGCTTTTCACTGAATTAAAATTTTCCTTCCCCTAAAAAGGACACAGATGACAGAAACATAAACAAAACCCCTGATCTGCATATTTATTAGGTCTAAACTACTCATTTCATTCCCAAAATGCATGGGTTTCACTGCTTGCTCAGTGTAGTATGAGCTTTCAATTCCCATCCTGGTAACACCACAGCTCGTGGTTGTGAGCAGGATGACAATATGCCTGGGGCTTCTGCAGTATCTTGCAGCTGTGCCTTGCTCCATATCCGCCTGGACTGTAATAGCATGCCAGGTTCTGTGCCATCCGCTGGCCTCTGTTAGATGAAGTCACCCCCAAAGGGGTGAATCCCAAATCCAGCTGGGGGCCCAGTTAGATCCAGTAAACAGATGGTTGACAACTTGTGGAAATCTGGGACAGAGCCCAGGGTAGTGGCTTTGTTCCATGGACAGCACAGGGGGACCATCAAGATGTATTTAGGTATTTGTTCTTTCTATGAGACTTCAGTTGACACTGAGTCCTGCAGCATGACCAGTAACTCCCCTGAAAAGGAGAGCACTGAAGAGCCCACTTGCCTGTAACATCAGTGTAATTTCTACCCAAGTTGTTCCATGCAGTTTGGGGAACCAGAGAAGGACTTACCACTATAACTACAGTGGTACATGGCAAAGAGGGGTCTATGTCTAGAAGTTTTCACAGTTTCCCTGGAAAGCTCAAATTTAAATCTCAATCACAGATGCATCCCAAACCCACTGAAATGACCAGTGGCATAGTGACAATCCAGGGACAGAGGCAATACACAAGACATCACCCTGCACAAAGCTGGGTACATAGCAGACATAATAAATGGTGGTTAAGAGGAACAGTTAAATCCTCGGTTCAGAGCCTGGGAAGAGGGGTTTCTGGTGAAAAAGCTGTAGGAGAAGAGGATTTTCAGTATCCCTTACAGGGACAGCCCATGCAAAGAGGGCCTGAATACAGAGTATGATGCACGTGTCTCTCTGATTGCAGGCTCTTTCTGCCACCTCACATGCAGATTTCCTCGAATGAATTACACAGAGCTTACAGAGCCATTTGCATGTCAATACTTTTTTTTTTTTTAAGATTCAAAGCAACTGACACAGTAAATTTCATTGTTACATAATGACAGGCTCTGGACAAAATGAAGACACGATGGATACAGTAATCATAAAGTTTTGATAATATTTTTAATTAATTTTTATTGGAGTGCAATTGATTTACGATGTGTTAGTTTCCACGGTACAGCAAAGCAAATCAGTTATACATATACATATACCCACTCTTAGATTCTTTTCCCATAGAGGTCATTGCAGAATATTGAGTAGAGTTCCCTGTGCTATACAGTAGGTTCTCATTAGTTATCAAATGGCAACCCACTCCAGTATTCTAACCCACGCCAGTATTCTAACCCACTCCAGCATTCTAACCCACGCCAGTATTCTAACCCACTCCAGCATTCTAACCCACACCAGTATTCTAACCCACTCCAGTATTCTAACCCACGCCAGTATTCTAACCCACGCCAGTATTCTAACCCACTCCAGTATTCTAACCCACGCCAGTATTCTAACCCACGCCAGTATTCTAACCTACTCCAGCATTCTAACCCACGCCAGTATTCTAACCCACTCCAGTATTTTAACCCACGCCAGTATTCTAACCCACTCCAGTATTCTAACCCACGCCAGCATTCTTGCCTGGGAAATCCCATGGACAGAGGAGCCTGGTGGGCTACAGTCCATAGGATTGCAGAGTCAGACCCATCTGAGTGACTAACACACATAGTATGTATATGTCAATCCCAATCTCCAAATTCATCCCTCCCCTTCTCGCCCCCTTGTTAACCATAAGTTCGTTTTCTATATCTGTGACTCTATTTCTGTTTTGTAAATATGTTCATTGTTACCATTTTTTTGGATTCCACATATAAGCGATATCATATGATATTTGTCTTTGTCTGACTTACTTCACTCAACATGACAATCTCTAGCCCATCCATGTCACTGCAAATGGCATTATTTGTTCTTTTTTATGGCTTAATAATATTCCATTAGAGGTAGACAAATGTCTCCCACACCTTCTTTCTCCATTCCTCCATTGATGGACATTTAGGTTGCTTCCATGCCTGGCTATTGTAAATAGTGCTTCAATGGACATTGGGGTACATGAAATGGGACCTAATTAAACTTAAAGGCTTTTGCACAGAAAAAGAAACCATGAATAAAATGAAAAGACAACCCACAGAATGGGAGAAAATATTTTCAAATGAAGCGACCAACAGGGATTAATCTCCAAAATATACAAACAGCTCATGCAGCTTATTATATTTAAAAAAAAATTCCAATCCAGAAATGGGAAGAAGATCTAAATAGACATTTCTCCAAAGAAGACATACAGATGGCCAAAAGGCACATAAAAAGATGCTCAACATCACTACTTATCAGAGAAATGCAAATCAAATAAAAACTACAATGAGGTACCACCTCACATGGTCAGAATAGCAATCATCAAAAAGTACAAACAATAAATGCTGAAGAGGGTGTGGGGGAAAGGAAAACTTCCCTCCTGGAGAAAACTATAATTTGAAAATATGCATGTCAGTATTAATGAGTCCTCACTGCCTGTGCCATGCCCTCCCCCCTCTCCTAAGTCCCTCACCGAAAAAACAAATTTTCTTAGAGAACAGAATACAAGTGTACCACCTTCCCGGGTGTAGAGGTGGAGATGTTATCAAGAAAAGAAGGACTAGGGTTTACTTGACAGGTGACATGAGCTAGACTCCTTGAGGAAGAGTCTGGAGGGGGGAAAGGGGCCTCCAAAGATCCCCTGCAGCATGGGAACAGAAA